GGATCCCTAAAAAACAGGTGGAGGGTGAGTTCTCGCCCATCACCTCTGCCCACGGCTTGCTTTGCCTTAGAATTTCCATCAGTTTCACTTGCCTTAATGTAAGCATTTCTCATGCTATGACCTTCACCCTCCCCTGCTTCTCACACCAAGAATGAGCTCACAAGGGAACTAACACAAGGGAAAAGTTCCATAGTCTCCTGGGCTGAGAAGCCATGCTGATTGGTCGGTCTCCAGCACCCCTGCTGTCGCCAGCTAAGGCTGGCACAGTAACCCTCCTGCTTCTGCCCACATCACTGCTCTAGGTGACTCCTGCAGTAGAGGTCTCAAACACTTACTCTGAATTATACTTCTGTAGGCTGCTGTGGCTGGTGAATCTGGGGCTTCAGCAAAAAATGACTGGCCTTTGTCACAGCTCTTACCTTAAATAGAGAGAGACCTGAGCGCCTGTGAACACGTCACTCTTGTGTGTGCTCCAGCGTGGCTGCCTGGGGCTCCCCATTCAAGGAGAGCACAGCCACAGGAGCATACCAGGGGCCTCAGCTGTGTCCCCTCCCCAGCAACCCTTGATTCTACTTTGCTGTGGCAAAGTCAGTTGACGTCCCAGGCCCAAAGAACTTCTCCACTGCTCCGGGTGGGCCCGGGAGTCTGCATTAGAAAGTCATTAACTGGCAGCCGAGGAAAATGAGAATCCAGGGGAGGAAATCATCTAGGACTCTCCACAGTCAGGAAGTGTGTGTGGCAAAACATCAAGAACTAGGAAAGGAAATGCAGAAGGGGTGAGTGCCTGGGTGTCTCTTAGGAAACACGCATGTGAATGCGGGAACAGCATAGCCTCTCCCGCTCAGGAAAGCAGGCCCCTCAGTGCATACAGCCTGTCCTCTGCTTGCTCCCATAACTCTTCATCTTTACGGTCACCCACTGTGTGGGTCAGTGGCTAGTCCTACCCAGCCATAAAGGCACAGACATACGCTATCCCACGGACCACATGTAACTCAGGGAAGAAGACACACTCTTTGCCTGTGAACCTCTCTCACACCCAGGTCCTCGGACTGCTCTGCCATACACCAGGCCCTGCTCAAACTTCTCTGACAGGAAAAGGTCAGCTCCCACACCTGAGTGCACAGCCATCTACAGCTGAGTCCAGTGTGCCTCAGGCTCTTCCTCTTGGACTCAGGTACCCGGCACTGCCCAACTGCCTAGTGTCACAGGCACCCACCATCCAAGCAAGCTCACTTATCTTAGGGAAACTGAAATCTGTAGGGAAGCTGAGCCCCTTCTTATCCCCTCACCGAAAGCGGATACACGAGTAAGCCTGGGATAGAAAGACATGCATCCCTTCCTCAGAGCTGAAATGCCAGGATCCCAGGAGACCCACATGATCCCAAGAGCAGGTCAGTGTTTTCAGTGCTAGTGACCAAGGGGCCCTGCAGTCCTAGGAGCACGTGGCTGGGCTTTCATGGAGGCAGATCTAGGGTGCCTGGCCCTGGCCTCACTGCTGCTCTCCTGTGGCTGCAGCTCTGAAGATTTCACAGGATCCAGCTCTGTCCCACCATGGCTGGTCCTGCACACCAAGCCCGAGAGCAGTTAAGATGGCTATGCAAGAAGTATAGGCCCCTCAGACTCACCTATGTGTGAGTTCAGACTCACCTATGTGTGGATCCAGTGGCACTTTGCCCAGAAGAGGGATCTTCAGGTCCTGGCACATGGCTTCTGCACCTCCAGTCGTGGGAGGGAAGATCTGAGACTCTTTCTGTGAGGAAGAATACGGAGGCAGGTTTTTTTGTTTTGTTTTGTTTTGTGAATCTGTACCTTAGGACACAGTCGTTTCCAGATGTTTTAAACAGTGGCTTATTTTGGATATGACACTCCAAGGCATCTTCACTCAGGCAGTAGTAGAGGACTTGACGGTGACCCCGCCCTTCTCAACACAGCAGGTAAAGCAGAAACAGTCCCAGAGAGAACCACCCCTGCCATTTCCCCACTAGGACAAGGGTGTGCTATGGGCCCACCCTAGGAACTGTCACCTTGCACTTGGGGCAGATGAAGCCGCTCATGTTCTCCACCACACCTATGATGGGCAGCTTCACCTTGTGGCAGAAGCTGATTTCCTTCCGGACATCCTGGAGGGCCACCTCCTGGCAAAGTTCACAGAGCAGTTATCCCACAGCCAAAGGGCGCTGAAAGCCACAAGTATAGTCCCGAGGATGACCATGACACCAGGGGTACACTGTCAGACTGCTGGGGAGCATGACCATGGGGTGGTGCTCACTCACCTGAGGGGTGGTGAGGATCACCGCCCCATCAATGTGTGCCGCAGCCAGATACTGGACAACCGAGAGATGTTCATCAGATGTGCCAGGTGGGGTGTCTATGATGAGGTAGTCCACATCCCCCCAGTCTACGTCACGGAGGAACTGCTTGATCATACCTGGAAGGGGCAAGGTTGAGTGTGTGCTGTCCTTCCGGCACACATCTCCAGAATCATCTTTCAGTCTGATGTGAGCACCTGGCCTACATTCACAGCCTTGACAGAGTGACACTACTGTCCCCAGGGGGCAGGAGGCAAGATCTGCAGACATGGTGGTTGGCCATGATGAGGCCAGGGATGCCACTACCATTATGTATGGCACAGACATGTCTCCTGAACAGACTCATGTGACTGAGGTGTCAACAGCGAGAAGGCGCTTGCCCCAGCCATGCTTTTACATAACCTTGTGTTTCCCCGACACTGACCCAGCAAGGGGTTTTCACTCCACACTTCCCTCCTTGACACGAACCAGCCACATGATACCACACTACAAATAACTTCAGGATCCTGCAAGTCTCAAGAGCAGAAAGACTCACAGTAGGTAATAAAACATCTACACTGAAAACTGGTATTTCTCAGTTTTCTTTACCATGGAGGCTGGATGCTTAAACAGAACACACTATAGGCCAGGATATGGCTCCAGGTCAGAACACTAGGAGGCATGGGGTTCTGGGCTTCATCCCCAATACCAAAATAACAGCATTAACACACCACAAAGCCCATCAGAACACTGCAGCCTGCTGTCTAGATGCAGGCAGAACCAGGAATATGAGCCAGAATGGAGTGACAAACCGTTTTTCTTTGGTCCCCTCCAGATGACGGCATCATCAGGGCTGCTGAGCAGGAAACCCACAGACATCACCCCTAGGTTGTCCTCCACGTACTGCAGCAGGAATGGGGAGAAGGGGAGAACAAGGGCAAAACACACCTATACATGTGCAAGTGGGCACTTCCCAAGGAATTTGGTTTTAAAAAGACTACTAATAATTCCGGATAAAGGTATCATGTGCCTCATAGCTGCGCTTGCCTTTTGCAGCCCCTCGAAACATTTTTGAGAAACACATGGCCATGGTGGGATCTACAAGAGGCACATGTGGCCTCGGCCTCAGCAACAAGCATATGAAGCAAAAAGAAACTGTCTCCTCAGCTATCCTAACTCGATTAGCAGAGACCCCATAATCCAGTGTTGTAGGTGAGGTTTGACTGGGACACACTGTGGTCATTCAGTTGCACAGTACCACCTCACAGTTATGGAACCAGAGCACAGGTCCATAACCCCCATTACAGACAAGGCCTGCCAGTCCGCAGTCTAACCTGAATGCCCGCAAAACAGTAAGTGTTCAACTTGAGCAAAATTTTTGCCAGCCTCCACCTCCATCAGCCCCTCAGACACACCTAACCCACACGCACTGCCTCTCCAGTACGGCTAACTCACCACTGGAGACCAGCCGGAGCCACTCTGGTGAACCTGCAGGGACACAACAGTCATTCTTGTCTCTGTGCACTCCGGTCACATCATCATTGACAAAGCTTCCAAAGAGGATGGCTTCACACAGTAGCATTCACCATCCTGTACTGCACCCCTCAATTAAAACGTTTTAAGATTTCTTTTATTTAGTGTGTACATATATGCCTGTATATGTCTCATGACACCACAAAGAGGTCAAAGGACAACCATGTGGATCCCAGAACTCAGGTCATCAGGCTTGGCAGCAAGCACTCTTACCTGCTTAGCCACTTAATTCTTAATGGAGGGTTGAGAAATGAAGACCTTATTTGATACAAACACTCTATCCTTGTCCTTGGAGGGTTGAGAAATGAAGACCTTATTTGATACAAACACTCTATCCTTGTCCTTGTCAAGGAATCACAATTATTCAAGTTCAGGCACAACTCTTGAGATGTTTACGAAGAATGAGAGAAGCAGGCCAAGTGCTGCTGAGGAAATGCAGGCACTTGTAAAGCAGCCATGTTGCTATGCAAAGAAGCAGAAGGGAGACTACTACCTGGTGACCCTTAGTGCCACAGTTGGTTCAAAGCTACCTGAGGGGTGGCAGAGATGGATCGGTGGTTAAAGCACTGGCTGCACTCGCAAAGGACCAGGGTTCTCTTCCCAGCACCTGCATGGTGGCTGCTCACATCTGTCTGTAATTCCATGTCCGAGGGATCTGACACCCTCTTTGGGACTCTTTGGACACTGAGCATGTGAGTACAGATACACATGCAGATAAAACACCCCCACACATAAAATAACAGTTTAGAAGCTGCCCTTGGGTTGGGTGTGGGAGAGCACACCTTTAATTCCAACACTCAAAAGGCTGTGACAAGTGGATCTCTCTGAGATCCGGGCCAGCCAGGGCTCCCCAGTGAGAGCTTGTGTAACAAACACATAAACAAAACCCAAAATGCCCCGGTCAGTGGCCCGAGCCCTGACTCCAGGCTATCCACAGGGGCAAGGGACTAGAGTCTGTAGGAGGCCCCCAGAGCCAGGCTCTGTCATTTTTATTATGAAACCTGAACTTAGGCATCATCCATATATACACCAGGCTGTGCCTTCTCCTCTTGTAGTTTTCCAGACAGAATTCTGACCCTCTCACCCCAAACCAAGTGATCCTCCTGACTCAGCCTCCCAAATAGCTGGACTATCAGCTTGCACCACCATGCCTGGCTGCAGTTCTACTTCATAAGATGCCCCTGTACTCTAAGTCAGCTAAACCCATGCTGGTGCGTGTTGTGCAAAGGCTGACTGAGGTACAATCCTGCCTTTTTTCTTCAACACATCACTGCACATTCGCACCCCCTCAGATGCACACCCACGGTCCTGACAGTGTGACCAAGGCTAGCCCAGGTGAACTTCCTTTTTGCCGAGGCTGAAGGCTCCTGCTCTCATCTCCTCTAGCTCTCCATAGTGGGAAGCCTGTCTCCCCACTCTCTGCTGAAGCCAGCCCCTCTCCAGCCTTGGTCTCCTGTCCCCTGCCCACTCCCATAGATTACCTGCTTTGCTGGACACTGTATACCTAGAAGAGGACCTGGAGTTAAGGGAACAGCATTGCCTGTGGCATCTGAGGCCCATCCCTGCTTCTGCACACCACCAGGGTCCTTCCTGAATGAGGGCAGACAGCCCTATACCCTGCTGCTATGTCACGCACCAGGGCCATAGTCAGGGCCTCAGTTCCCTAGAGGAGACCACAGCACTGAAAGATTCCCTTGTTTCCAGTGCACACCCGAGCAAACCTTGGCCCTGAGTTACTGCTCAGAGCTGAATTTCCGCCTCTCACTTCTGTATTCTGCTTGCTGTTTCCCTCTCCCACCCATACAAGGCTCAAAAACCAATGCTTGTCAATGTGGATCCACTCTCTATCTAAGCCTGAGCCCTCAGATCCACAGGTGTTGAGAGAGGAGATACAGGCGCTATATGGCATGTGCTTGCCCAAAGAGCAGCAGCCAAGTCTCCAAAGGCCATCACCTGCTCTCCTTCTAAGCCCATGATCTTGGGAATCGACGGCCCACAGATGTCGATGTCCAGAAGAGCGACCTGGGAAGGAGAAGACAGGGGGGGACATCACTGACTGCCAGGCCTGGAGATATGCAGTGAACAAATGGCCGAGCATCCACTTTCTCATGGGAACTCCAAGGTCATCCCGCAGTCCCCAGTATGGAACAGGGTGATCTTGCAGCAAGCCATCAGGCCACTCCAAGATTTAGTTCCCTCAGCTTACAAGCATAATGTGGTCTCGCATCACAGAAGATGAAGCTGAGGTTCAGAGAGACCCAGAGACTTGCTCAATGAGCAAGGAACAGAGATGGGACAAAAGTCCAAGTCTTCAATACCAGTGCTCTTTCCAACACACTGTCAGGCCTATACAGGCCAGAGCAGAGATGATGGCTGACCTCTAGGCAAGCCTGATTTTCTGGGACCATGCTGACAACAAGCCTTCAAAAAAGCATTTAAATAAGAAAGGAGATCCTGGAGAGATGGCTCAGATATTAAGAGAACATGCTTCTCTTAAAGAGAGCCTGAAATGGATTTACAGTACCCATGCTGGATGGCTCAAGACTCTAACTTCAATTTCAGGGGATCTAGTATCCCCTTCTGGCCCCCACAGGCACTGGACTTGTGCACATACTCCCACAAACATCTTTTAAGTTTTATTTTACGTGTAAGGGTGTCTTGGCTGTGTGCACGCCTGTGTACTTCATGCATGTTTGGTGTCCATGCAGGCCATAAGAGGGTACCAGATCCCCTGGTACTAGAGTCACAGACAGTTGTGAGTTGCCATATGGGTGCAGAGAATTGAAACCAGGTCCTCTTAAAAGGTAGTCAGTCTTCTTAACCACTGAACCATCTTTCCAGCCCACACATTCTTAAAAAAAAAAAAAAAAAAATCCTAGAAGCATGAGGAGGAAAAAGAGGGAGAGAGGGACTGGAGTGGGGGCTCGGAAGGTTAAGAGCACTTGCTGCCCTTCCAGAGTACCCAAGTACCAAGCCGCCAATACCCACGCTAGGCAGCTCACAACTCCCTGTAACTCCAGCTCCAGGAGATCCAACACCTTCTGGCCTCTCCAGGCGCCTGCACACACATGGTACTCATACAGAGACACATACACATAATGAAAATAATCTTTAAAAACACAAAAGGGATCTGGGAAGTTCTTGTTGGGGACTTAGGTAGTCTCACAAGACTTCCGTCAAGTCAATCCCCAATCTTCCTGACAACTGAAGCCTGCAGCAGCATTTGCTGGCCTTGTGAAGGGCAACCATTCATCTTGAGAACTGGTGGTCAGGAACTCAGAGCGCAACCTCTGGGGAACTCTAGAACTTGCCCCATGCTCTCTTCCTTCTTCAGTCCTACTTCCTCTACATGCTGGCTGACTTCGGTGTTGGTGACTATTGGTGACAGAGAGGGACTCAGGACTTCATCACTAAGATCCTGTTTGTCTCCTGCGTCCTCTGCTGGCCTGGCCCAGAAGTGCAGCAAAGGGGCACCTGACACCGGGGGTGGGGGTGGGGGTGGGGGGGGTGGGAGCTGGCCTGTATGTGGGAAAGCAGAGGGCTCTGCAACCCCAGCAGGTCTCCAGCCACCTGTTTCACCCGTTCCTTTTGAGGAAAGATTCTTCCCACTAGCCAGAGAAGAGACTGAGACAACTGACACCAGGATGCAATGCCCAGATTGACAGCCATCCCTTTTCCAGGAAGGCTGTGACAGGAAGGCCGTGACACACTGTGCCCAGGATCATCCTGGAGCGCTGCCTATGGGCAGACTGTGTCTGAGTTTCACTCCAACAACTGATTTCTTTCCTCTTCTGCCTAGGTCAGGCTAGTGAGCACCTGCTGAGAACCAAGCCTTTGCCTATCTGTTCCCAGGGCCTCTCAACTACCATGACACTGCCAGAGAATGCAGGCTTTCCCACAAGCTGCTTTTATTTTTGAGACAGTCTCCCTCTGTAGCTCAGGTTGGCCTAGAACTCTTGGCAATCCTCTCAAGTGCCAAGACTACAGGTGTGAGCAAGCACACCCAGCTCTTCATCTTTCTTTTTTATACAGCCATAACTGCATAAAGGAATGCACCTTGCCCAGTCCTGTCCCCATACTGGACTGGATACTGAAAGGTCTTGACAAGGATGCAGCAAGGCACTCCTGTATGGCAGACAGACGTGAACGTAGCGCCCCATGCCTGGCCGGGGCAAAGACTGTTGTTGTTACACAGCTGTCTAAGAAGGTTCCTAACAGCTTGAGATGCAAAGCTCATTCTGGCCAGAGTCGGGGTGGAAGGCAGGGGGCTGCTCCTAGGGATGAAACATGCCGAACAAACGTTGCACTACAGTGCTCCAGCCCCACCCCCTTGTAGAAAATGCAGACCATGTGATAAAAAGATTTCACTGGACTAGGCAATACAAATCTGGTAGCAAGAGACTGTCCGGTAACAGAACCATCAACAGGTAAGTACGCTTAACCTGCTCTGTGCTGTGGGCTGGGTAGGCTGCAACCCACTTCTAAAAGCAATCATCCTCTGGACTTCAGTTAGTAAAGTGCTAATAAGGAAGGTGAGGAAGGTTGCTGTCGGAACATTTTCAGGACACTAACTATATGGCAGGCACGGTGCTTGCACTTTAACTTCCCTCTCACCCAGGCCTCTGAGTCCCATTTTATAGATGAGAAAATGGAGGCAGAGAGAGCCTGGTAACCAGCTTGAGCATCAGCAGTGAGGTGGTAGAGCAGGGATATGAACCTGCACTGCTCTTGGCTACCATCCCCACCCTATGAGAGCCAGCACCCAGAGCAAATACTGGGAATTTGAGTCAGCTTATCTGTTTTGAGAAAGGGTCTCACTCTGTAGCCATGGCTGGCCTTGATTTCAAAATCCTCCTGCTCTAAAACGCTGGGATTATGAGCATGTACCACATGGTCTGGTGATCCCAATTTGGTGATCCCAATTTCATGCTTGTCATACACTGGAGATGTACACTAGCACAAGGATCATTTCTGTGAGAGGCAAACAGAAAATGTCTTCTGTTTTATGAACAAAAGCAGGAGTGATATCTGGGTGCTTGTGTGACTCGAGAAGTGACCATTTAAATATGTAAGTACCCTTCTTAGCTCACAGGATCTAGATTTCAAGACAACAGAAAGCTTCGTAAGGGGCAGGTGTAGAAGGTCCCAGTGTTATACAACAACCAGAATGTGAAGAGGCACACTGCCATGTTCCCTCTATTAGAAAGAGAATCCAGTGAAACACCTCAGCCAGGAGCCAGGCAGCTCTGCATCTCCCCAGGGTCAAGACAGTCAGAGAGGCTGGTCCCTGGGGTCTAAGAATCACACTTTGACGCCATCAAAGGGCACCTCCCAGCTCAGCTCAGGGTCCCACCTGTGTGTCTCCATCCTCTGCCAGGCCATGGGCGAGGTGGGCACTGAACGTGCTTTTCCCAACACCGCCTTTGCCAGACAGCACCAAGATTCTGTGTTTCACTGTCTTCATTTTCTCTTTGATTTCCTCCACGGCTGCAAAGAAGCAGTTGAGGTGATCACATCTCTGCCTTGGTTCTGACTGTCTCTCTTCCAAAGGGCTAGGAAGAGCCATGCTCTTTAAGAGACAGCACTTCAGCAAAATATAATAAATGCTAGAAGAAAACATGGTTACCAGCAGCCTGAACTTGTCTTGTTTGATTCATGCATTGCCTCATCCTTTAGAACAGGCTCCCAGGAGGGTAGGGTGTTCAAAGCCCCAGCTCCTGAACAGAACCTTCTGACAGGAAAGCTTCACAACCCAGGGGACAGTGTCAACATCTGCACAAAGTCTTTGGATGTCACGAAGAGGGACTACTCCTGGCATCTAGGATGATGCTAAGTGTCCTAAGCACGGGATATCCTCTGTAACGAGGAAAGATAAACTTCAAATGTCACTAGTGCTGAGGATGAGAAACTCCAACAGACAGGCTCACAGTAAGTCCCTGTCCCAATAACTCACGTTTCCAATGCCTCATCTTATTTCAAACCCTAAGAACTAAACTGTGGGATAACTATTAATGATGAAAGCATTCAGAAGTCTCACTCAGGGTCACAGTTTACAGGCAACCCAATAATCAAACCCACCCTCTCTGAATCCCCTCAAGAGCCTTCTCCCAGGTTCCTGTTTCCTAAGACCCTTCTAGGTAGGCCTTCAGTCCTCCTCAACCTGGAGATGGACCTTCACAGCACATATCCCTGATGGGCTTAAAAGGTGTTTGCTCCCTGCTTCTCTCCCCCACTTTGGTCTCATTCCCACAGCTGTCTCTCCAAGGAGATAATAAACATTTATTTCTGCTGAGTGATGGACTAGCTCCATAAAAGGAAGGATTCTTCTCCCTGCCACAGCCAGGGCCTCAGTGATCTGTGACAGACTCATACCAAGACTTAGGCCTAGAAAGACCTAAGTACTTATCCACCTTGCTCTGTGCTTGGCCTTATGCATATTGTGGTCAGTGGTTGTCACTCAAGCTCTGGCCCTGCTCCCACATCACTTTGTTCTATTCTATCCATCTTTGAAGTCCTATTTACTTACTGATTTTTTGTTTGTTTTGTTTTGAAACAGGGTCTCATCGAAGCCCAGGCTGACCTCTAACTCTCGGGGTAATCACGGATGACTCTGAACTCCTGATTCTCTTCTAAAAGTGAAAACGTCTTATGTGCTGAGATTACAAGCATGTACTAACACACTCGACCTAATAATGTTCGCTCGTTCATTCATCCTGTAGCCCAGGCTGGCTTCTAACTTGCGGCCATCCTCCTGCTTCTAACCACTACCCCACCTCTCCACGCCGCCCCCCCCCCCCGCCCCGTCCCGGGGGAACAAGCCTGAGCCAGCAAGCTGACTTTAGTACCCGTTTTGATTCCCTGACTATCACACATCAGACTCAGCATGCATTTCCACCACGTCCCTCCTCTGCTCCCCAAGCTCTGCCTCCTACGCCAATCCCCTCAACCATATAGAATACGGGCACCTACTAGCCGCTGTCATTCATCCCTCAAGTCCCGCCCCTTCCACTTCCTGATCTGCCGGTCGCTTCCTCACCCGGGTCAGGTGCGGCGCCGGCTCCCGACGCGCACAGCCTCTGGTTGGGGCATCCCTGGCACGAGGCTCCTCGGCCCGCCTGGGCGCTGTCGGCCCCGGGGCAGCCTGCACGGAGACAAGGGCACAGTCAGAGCAGCTCGGGCCCAGCGGCGCCACCCACGCGCCCTGCGCCAGCTCACCGTGGGGCACCTCCTCCATGCTGCCGCTCCTGCTGGGGCTGGGCTCGCCGGAACTCCAAGGTCGTGTTTCCGCCTCGCGGGTCCAATCTGACCCTTCGGGAGGGTGAAGGCTCTCGCCAGACTAGGACTGCGCATGCGAAAAACTGTGTGCAGTGGGTGGGGCTTCAATGTGTGTTCTTTCCAGAAATGAGCTGAGACGGTTTTTAAAATAGTGTGGCGTCCGAGCATAGGAAGTGACTCTACGAGTAAAGGCGCTGTTAAGAAAGTCTGACAGCCTGTGTTCCATACCCCGGTCTCATGGTGTAAAGAGAGGATGGAAAGTTGTTCTCTGACACATGCACATATGCACAGTAATAGTAAGATATATATTTTAAGTATGGCTTCTGTCGTCAAAAACATTATTCTCCATGACTGCAGTGTTGATGCGATGCTACTAGTAAAACTACAATCGATGTCAATATTTACTCAGTTTCAAATAATCTGCCCTACCCCTACCCTAGCTTCTCTTACAGGCTGGAATCGTGGCTCAGTTGGCAGAATGCGTAATCTATTATACATGCGATCCTGTATTTAGTCCGCAGCACTGAAAAAAAAAAAAAATTCCTCCCTCCCTCTTTCTTTCCCTCCTCTCCTGCCCTTTCCTCCCCCTCTTCTCTTTCCACCTCTTTCCACCTCTCCCCACCCCTCCCCTCCTCTCTTCTGCCCATGCTGAACTTGAATCAATTATTTTCTTGCCATGCTTGACCAAGAGGTGAAAGTTTATAAAGAGGTGTAGCTCAGGGGTAGAGGCCCTGTCTAGTAAGTGAGAAGCCATAAATTTAATCCTCAGCAGGGCAAGATCTCGTTGCTCCTCCTGCCTCCATCTTCCAAGTGCTAGAATTGCAATGTGCACCACTACTCCTAGCTCCTGGGCTAAAAAAAAATTAAATTAAATTAAAAACACACTCTTAAAATCGCTATGCTATTAAGAATAATACTTGGTTTTATGTTTTGTTACTTTCTTCTCAAATTTGTTCAGTGAAACATCTTCAGACCCCCTCCTTTGAATGTGCCCTTTGGATGCTTACCCCAGATTCTGGGAGCTTTTCCTAGCTTTCTCTCACTTGTGAAGGCTCCCACTATCCTTGCTGCAACCATTTCACCTGGGAGCCTGGCTGCTTCCGTGGAGCAGTGTTTTGGACACATGAAGACATCCTGTGCACACATACAACCACAAAAACACCACCGCATGCAACTTTGGCACAAGGTGGCGGTTGTTAGTTACACAGGGAAACCCTGTCTCGAAAAACAAAACAAAACAAAAAATTCATAGCCTCCTTTTTCATTATTATCATAACAGGGTCCCAGACCTTGGCAGGCCCCCAGACAACTGACTCCATGATGAAAGCAACATTCAAGCTGTAAAACTCAGCATGTAGACAACACCACCTGCCAAAATGAAAACAAAGACCTCATCCATCAAAGTCCATATAGTTGTGGGAAAGTCTCACAATGTACTAACCTTGCTTTTTAGTGTCTGTCGTTCTGATTCTGGGTACCTGTTCTTGTCAATTGAAGTATGTCAATCCAGATCATGTTTTTTGTTTTTTTTTGTGCTTAAAAGCTCATCCTGACAAAGGCTCAGTGCCACACTGAGATCCCAAGTAATAAAGACTTTCCTAAGCCCATGTTACAACAGTCTTCTGGTGAATACCCCACAACAACATTATTACATATAATACTATGTATGAAATTTGTTCACTCTGTATAATATCATGTGTACATATGTTTTCAAAGATGGCGGTTTGGTATTGGATAAGCAATTGGTGGGCTCTTCCCTGGGAAAGACTATCTCTCTCATTATCAGCATTCCTGTAGGATGCTATAGATTGAGGCATGCCCCTCTACCTTGGCATGTGTATTTGTGTCATCCTTATTCAGCTCATGTTTAGTTTGGTAAGATTACCTTCTGACATTAGTAGGAAATACTGTAGGGTAACAGGCCTGAAAGGGTATCCTGGCAAGCAGGGCCAAGGCATGCCACAAAGATCACACCATGCAACAGACCTCATGCAAGGGATTTATTGGAGCAGGGCATGAAGGCCACATAGGGGCAGGAATCAAGAGAGGGAGATGTAAAGGTGGGGAGGGATGGATGGAGAGAGAGAGAGGTTATGATGGTATGGTTCAATAAGGGATATGAAGCATGTTCACAGGGAAAATATGTAACAGTGGTGACAGTGGAAATGTGTTGAATTGGCCTTCAGTGATGATGATGATTGAAGGTGGGTGGGGGATGGGAGATCACTTGGTTCTGGAATGTGGGCAGTTCTTGGTTGACTAAAAAGGCCAGTGAAAAATCATTTTGCCCCGGCCTATCTCTATTGGGGGATGATTTTGTGCACTGTGTGTTCAGATGTTGATTTCTGTACCCAGAGATCTGGTTGTAGTCTGATGTTGGCATTGTCATTATTATTGCAGCATCTCCTGTCTCAATGTTGTGTAAAAGTTGTTCTCCATCACCTCTGATTGGTTAATTAACAGCTGAACAGCCTATAGCTGTGCAGGAGAGTTAAGGCAGGACTTCCAGTCCCAGGAGGGGATCCCAGATGGAGGAGGTTGCCATGAGGACATGGATGAACAAGAAACAGCCAGAGTACCACTAGGATGGCAGGTACTGGGGCACGTAGCTGGGAGTCATCCAGACACGTGAATAAATGAGTGTCTGCCCAGCTGTAGTGCTTGAAGCTTATTAATAAATATAATAGGTCTCTGTGTTATTATTTGGAAATTAGAGCAGGCACTGAGAAGCCTTACTTTTACGTGTCCCTGAACCTGGGACTTGGGACTCTCCACACCCATGACTCAGGGAAGCAACACTTTCAGCCAAACTGTACTTTTCCACTAGCTCACTACCTATACTCCAAAACCCCTAAAAGCCTGCGCTGTTTACCCAACCTGCTGCTGTCTCTGTTCCCACTCAGAGGCAGCCACTGTTCTGTTTTCCCCAATACATCTCTTGTGTGAGGTTTGTTGCTTGGGTTGACTTTGTGGCATTCCTTGGCTCCTGACTGCTAAAATACCCTTGCACTAGAAAACCATTTCAGACCCAGCCTCACAGCAAACTTTCTAATCCTCTTGCCTTTACAATCTTTCCTCCCTCTCTTCTGCAATGTTCCTCAAGCCTTAGGTTCAGGAGTGTTTTGTGGTGTATCCACTAGGACCAGGCTCCTCCACAACTCTGCATTTTGATTGGTTGTGATTTTCTGTAATGGTCTCCATCCATAGCAAGGAGAGGTTTCTTTGATTAAGTATGAGAACTACATTATCTGTGGGTATAAGAACCAATGTTTATATTGTTGTTAAGGATTATGCTGATTTATTAAAGTACTGGTTGGAATTTATCCAAGATACATGACTTCACTAGCACTGGGTAGTTGGTTAGGTTTCCAGTATCAGGCATGGTTTCTCACTTGTTGAATGTGGTGATTTGAATAAGAATGGCTCCCATAGATTCATGTGTTAAAATGCTTGGCCCATGGGTTCCTGCACTATTAAGAGGTGTGACCTTGTTGGGGGAAGTGTGTCACTGAGGAGAGGTAGGCTTTGCAGTCTCCTATGCTCAGTCACTGTGGAAGACAGTCCTTCTGCTGCCTTCAGTCAAGATGTAGAACTCTCCGCTCCTTCTCTAGCACCACATCTGCCTGGATGATGCTATGATTCTCGCCATGATGAAAATGGACTAAACCTTGGAAACTGTAAACCAGACCCAATTAAATGTTTGCCTCTATAAAAGTGTCTCTTTATATCAGTGAAACTCTAAGACTGAAGTTGGTACCAGGGACCAGTGTATTGCTGTGCTAGGCCTGACCATGCTTTTGTTTGGAGGAATGTGGATTTGGGGATTTTGGATTAAGAATGCAGTGGAGTGCTTTAAGTGGGGTTTAATGAGCCATACTAGTAGGAACATGGAAGAGAGTGGTGCTGAGGGTGATTTGAACTGTATGGGTGTGGCCCAAAAGGCTTCAGAGGAGAAAATTTTCAGTATGTTGTCTAGAGATCGTTCTTGTGTTATTTTGGTGAAGAATGTGGCTGCCTTTTGTCCTTGTCTGAAGAGTCTCCCTAAGACTAAGAGGAAGAGATCTAGATTAATTGCATTGGCAAAGGTAATATCAAAACAGCCTTATATAGACTGTGTCCTGTGGTTCACTCTTATGAAGAGCTTTTTGATGAAACAGCAATCTTAGAAAGGAAAAATACAAACTGTATGGTTCAAGGGGCACCAAGAAGTGAAATGGAGCTAAATCTTGTGTTCAAGGATATTAAATGAAATTAAGGGAATGGTAACCTCACAGCAAGATCTCACCCAGCTAAGCTTCCATTTGTGAAAAGGAATTGAAGAAAAGCTTAAGTTCAGGCCTAATGGTACATGCCTTTAATCCCAGCAATCAGGAGACAGAAGCATGCAGGTCTCTGAGTTCAAGGGCAGCCTTGTCTACAAAGCACATTCCAGAACACCCAAGCTTAGGCAGTGAAGGAAAGCATCAAAAACAGAAAGATGTGAAGATGTAATTGAACAAGGGGCCATGCTCCAGTCCTAGCAAGCAGCAGAACTTGGCAGCTTTGGCCACGTGATTCCAGCTTTAGAGTCAAAGACAGAAGAAAAGGATTATGGAGTCTCCCTCCCAGATTAAGGAAAGCCACGGAGGCCAAGTGTGTGGCAGGGGTGCCCTTCATGGAGGCCTAGAAAGGTCATTGTGTAAAGCTGTAAAAGGCCATTTTGTGAAGCTGTGAAGGTGAAGTCTGGATTGCCTTGGAGATCCCAAAAGGTTAGAGATGCCACAGACGTGGGGTACCTGCTGAGGAAAGCTGCTAACAGGGAGTGGAACCAGCCCAAGGGAAAAAAATGTGCTGCAGTCAACAAAGCTGAAAGGAGTTCGAGATGTGAAGAGTTTTGACATCAGACACACAAACTCTGGTGATGCAGAGTTTGGAGCTTGCCAGCTGGTTTTCAGACTTGCTTTGGTCCAGTGTTTCCTCACTATGCTTCCTTCCCTACATTTTGGGATGGTAATTTATATCCTGTTCTGTGATATGTTGGATGTGTGTGATCTGCTTTTGGG